CTAAAAGACATTTGATTATAAATGCTGCTGGATTAATCCAACCTATATATTTTGAAAATGCCTTAACTCTAAAATTTAAGTCAAAAGATAGGCTACTTTGGAGATGAGGTTTTGTTTTTGTTTCCACAGGAAATGAGAGGCTGTGGATTCATTCTGGGTTAAGAAAAATAAGGTTTGATCAAGGAAGACTCCCCTAAAAAATTTCCAATGGGAACAGATGACCCAGATGATCCAACATTTCAGCGGACCTCTATTGCAGTTTTCTCTGAGTTCTACATCCAGAACAGCTTCAAGACTGCTGGCTGAGATGATCCAGTCTCACAGAATACTCCCTCCAGACAGGACTTGACCATAATCCTAAATTTTCTTTGGGTCCCCATAAGATTGCCAGCACCCCAATCAGTAGAGAGTAGCCTAGAAACTATGCCCATATTCCCAAGAATGGATTGTGGATATTTGTCTTTGTTTAGCATGTTGGTTACAAGTTGTTATGGATAAAGGTCAGAAAAAAATCTAAACAAAAGAGATTAGATTCAAGGTTTTTGTTTTTAAAAGAAAAAAAGGGGAACTGCTATAGGATAATGCTGGGTAGCTACACAGATGATAAAAGCAGCTCTTTATAGCTGGTAAGATGGCTTAGTGGGCAAAGGCACCTGCTGTCAAGAGCCTGATAACCTGAGTTTGATGTCCATGATCTCCTTTTGCCATCCAAAGTAGGTTTAAGGACTTGGGAAATATCAGCAATGGTTGATAATCAAAAGAGGAAAATTGAAAAAAACAAATGAAACAGAAAACACCTAAGCACACTGATGGCGAAGAGCAGCACTGGCTGCCCAGTAGGATGTAACAGGAAGAACAACGAACTGTGCCTACGCTGAGCATTTTCTGGACATCCCCGGTTTAGGTCTGGTGAGAGAGCTCAGGAACTCAGTACATTTGCAGCCAAGTCTGGAAACCTGGTTCTATCCCTAGAACCCAATGATAGATAGAGAATGAACAGACTCCTGAGAGTTGTCCTTTGAACTTCACAAGCATGCCATTGTGCACAAGCTCACACATATATACAGACACACACACACACAGACACACACACTAAATGAAACATGTTTAATATGTATTTTAAAAATTGACATTTTACTTAGTGGATGGTGGAATATACAAAATGTCACCAAAGGGTAACCAAGTCAAATTCAAATACGCAAAATTTCAAAGAAAATCCAGTTTCTTCAAAAAGCACATAGCAAAGGAGATAAGAGAGAATATAAAAGATATATAAACCTCTCCTTGAGGCCAAAGAGTTGGATCAGAGGTTAAGAACACTTGCTAAAGTTCAGATTCTAGCACTCATATAACAAGCCAAGTGTCCCACAAATGCCTGTAACTCTAATTGCTCTTCTTGACTCCAAGTGCTCACAATTGTATGCACTCAAATATACACACATGCATAAACTCATACACATACATATATACAGTTTTTTAAAGAAATCAATCATTATAAAATAAAGGCATTCAATGCTAATAACAAATACAGCAATGAAAAAACACATAAAAATAATGGAAAATAATATATTCCAACTAAAAGGGATACATGGACCTTGTTTGGATCCTGATCAAACCAAGAAAACTTAAATATCTGAAACAGCCTGACACTATTGCATATTGTGTGCTAACAGAACATCATTGTTATTTTTTCTACTGTATCTCTTTAGAAAGTAGCTCCTTCATTGAGGGTAATAAGCTAGAGGAGTAAACTCCCAAAGCTTGAGGACAACACTGAAAGGCCTGAGAGTTATTAATTTGCACATTGGTACTTCAGTTTCTACATCTATGAGAAGTGATGATGCACTGATAAGTGGGTCTCAGCTACCCAAGCACTTCCCAAGAAAGATGCATGTACCTAGCAGGTCTTCCAGTAGAAACAATTCCACTATGCAAAGCAAGGATCACATAGACCTCCTCACCTGCTGCGTCTGAGCCTGCTGCTGCTGCTGCTGGTAAAAGGTGCCTGTTGGCTGCTGTGGTGCTGCCTGCTGCTGTGGCTGCTGCTGTTGTTGTTGCTGCTGCTTGAGGAGGAGCTGCTGCTGGTGCTGGGTAGTGGCCTGGGCCTGGGTGGGCAGACCTTGGGTCTGGGTAGAAGATGTCTGCTGTGGGGTGGATGGAGCCTGTGACTGCTTGGGCTGAGATTGTTGAAGAGGTTGACTAGGTGTGGGTTGGGCTTTAGGTTGGGGAACACTGGCTAGAAGGCCTGGTTGACTGCTGGGTCCTGCAATGAAAACAAACTCCATGTAAGGGTTCAAAACTCTACCAAACAAAAATGGCTTCCTGATTTGCCACCTAAGAAATAGTAGGCACAGGGACATTGTCCCAAGCTTTGTCTGTTTTTCACCATTCTGCCATTTGTGATATTCTATTTGAAATAGGTTTCCATTTTTTCCAAATCATGTGCTTTCAGTATTTCAAACCCAGGTGGAATTATAAGATTCAACACTTGTCTTCTTAGAGGGGTTTCCCTTACCCATCATCCCATTTAGTCAACTAGTTCTGTAGTCAGCACCCTTAGTCTCCTTTATATACACACAACTGACCACTGCCACTAAACGTAGTCTTTGTACCAGCTTGCACACCCACAGCAAAAGCATTCTTTGATATTTCATGAATAGCTTTCACAACTAGCATCGGGAGGCCTGAATGTATATAGATGGCCACCAAATTATCAGAAATTGTTCCTGGTAAAGGATGTGATAGTTGTGCTCTGTGACTTGTTATTTTGGATCAATCCCCATTTGAAACAAAGCTCACTTCTCTTATTATAACAGAATACTAGAACAGAGGATTATAAATACTCTAATAAATGTAGCATAAATGAAATGCTATTCTTCTATAGTTAACAAAAAAGAAGTAAGCTTTGTTTCTTTAAAGGAGGAAGAAATATATAAAACAAAGAAATAGAATGGGGTAGATGGACCAAAGGACCAATAAGAAAATAAATGCCGGTTTCAGAGGTCTTGGAGATCCACCTGATTACAGAAAGAAGTTCCTCATTTTGCAGTCACTGAATATACACATTCACTGGTAACTCGGCCCATTATTCTTTAGGCTGTTGCCTTCTAATATACCATCAAGAAGCACTGACCTGCAGTCTGAGGTAGGGGCTGAACAGTGGCCCTTTTACGAGGAGTCAGGGCTGGCTGAATGGGAAGGATTCCTGGGTTTGGCTGAGTCTGCCCAGCCTTAGGCCTCTGGCGGGGTGCAATTGAAGTCTCTGTGGTGGGAATGGGATCTGTCAGTCTAGAAAAGGAAAAACAACACTGCTGTTAAAATGTGGGAAAACAGAGAGGATAGACAGAACACGTGTTATTTTACCCTCAACATTCCTTCAAACCATTCAGATTTGCTTAATCAACATGTCCCTAAATGTCAACTCACCTACAAAGGCAAATACATCAAAATAACATCTTAACTCTCATTAGCAACCTTAAAGCCAAGAAAGCACAGAATGATACATTACCAACCAAAATTACCATACTCAGCAAAGCAATTTTTAAAAACCGGTAGAAATTCAAAGACATGAGGGGAGGTGTGTATGAGCTTGAGGGACACCTGAAGGTCAGAAAACAACAACTTTGAGTGTTGATTCTCCCATTCTACCAAGTGTGACACAGGGTTTCTCTTGTACAGTACTGAATACATCAGGCTAGCTGGTCTGTCAACTCCCTGTAATTCTCCTATGTCTGCCTTTCATCTCCTGGAAGGGACATGTCAGGATTACAGACACATGACCTACTACATCCAGCTTTTACATGGGTTCTGCCAAGTACATTACCTAGAAGGCCAAATCCCCATTCCCAAATAGGGATATTTTAAGACAAGCACAAACTAAAGGAGCTCATGACCACCAGCCCAGCTAGACATCGCACAGTTTACAATCATGACCTGCCTGCATGTTTCGCTTGTATAAGAGTGGCACAAACACTGTAGAAATAAACAACTACTCTCTGATGACACTTAAGGCTCACTCCACAAGACAGAAACTATGCCTGACAGGAGACCAGAACCTGAGACTAGATAGGCCAGGGGCCTAGGAGAAAACCAAATACTACTGTTCTGCTAAAGGAACACAGCAATAAAATGATTGCTGCCGACATCTATATATCAGTGTCTTGCTCAGCCATCATCAGAGAAGCTTCCTCTTGCTGCAGTAGAAGGGAAATAACAGAGACCCACAACTGGACACTGTGCAGAGAGTCAGAAAATTCACAACATTCAGTCCTAAACAGGATGTCTTCATCAAATCCCTCCCCTCAGGGCTCAGGAGCCAGACAGAAAAGGAAGGAAAAAGATCTTAAGAGTCAAAGGGGATGAAGGGCACCAAGGAAATGTGTTTTTAGACAAAACAGGTCTGATGAGCATAAGAACTAGCAAAAACTACAGCAACAAACACAGGGTCAAGATAGATGGAATTCTAGCACTGAGATGGGAAAGTGGACAGGCTGTCCCATCCCTTACCAAGAAGCTAACTCCAACTGACAACCACTTACAAAGGAAAAATTAGGTTTCTCCAATAAAGTCTCACTGGATATACAAACCAACACAAGGTAGGTACCAAGGCCCAGAAGATAACCAACACAAAATGCACTCAATGGTGTTTTTTTACATTTTTTTGTGTCATATTGCTTTCTTTGGCATATTTTTTAATCTTACTGGTCTTTGCTTGTACTTTAATTATGGTTCCCAATTTTGTGTTTTTATGGGTTTGGAGTTTTTTTGTGTGTGTGTACATATATATATATGCGTTTCTTGTGCTTCCTTGTTTTCCCCCCCCTTTTTTATTATTTTTCCTTTTATTTATTTGTTTTGGGTTTTTTGTTGTTTTTTGTTGTTTGTTTGTTTTGTTTTGAGATAGGGTTTCTCTGTGTCCTTGGCTGTCCTGGAAGACTGGTCTCAAACTCACAGCAATCCTCCTGCCTCTGACTCCTAAGTGTTGGGATTAAAGGTGTGTACCACCACCGCTGACTGACTGACTCTCTCCCTCTCTTTGGCTGGGATTTTTTTTTCCTAAAGAAAGAGAGAAAAGGAAGGTGTAGAGTTGGATGGGTAGGGAGGTGAAGAAAATCTGGGAGATGGGGGAGGGATCCAGTGACCAAAATATAATGTACAAATTTCCAATACAAAAAATAATTGGGGCCGGGCAATGGTGGTGCACGCCTTTAATCCCAGCACTCGGGAGGCAGAGGCAGGTGGATCTCTGTGAGTTTGAGACCAGCCTGGTCTACAGAGCTAGTTCCAGGACAGGCTCCAAAAGCCACAGAGAAACCCTGTCTCGAAAAGAAAAAAAAAAATTGAACTCTTTCACCAAACACAGAATTTCCAGAATATACTCTGGGCAATGGTTGGGGCAGAGAATTTTCACACAGAGAACTTAAACTTGGTTAAAACTTGCTGTCATAATGGGCTCTCTAGGGACTGGTGTGGACGAGTGTTTGCTACTCTTCCACACGGCCTGAGTTCAGCACCTACATAGAGTAACTCACAATAGTCCATAATACCAACTCCAGGGGATCTTATGACTTCTTCTGACCTTTGTGGGCACCTGTACTCGCATGGACACAACACAACACAGACATAAACAAAAATAAATCTTTTTAAAAGAAGGGGCATCTCTCTACAGTGAAAAGCATGCAGATGAACAAACATAGTAAGACAAATGGAAGAAATAAGCAAATAGTCCAAAATAAAAGTTTAAAATTGGGGAGAGTGACAGGAACACCATTTTTCAAATATGCAGACTCTTTTCTTTTCCACAGCAATAAATTTTCAGTTGGACACAGAGTTGCACAGGACCACATAGCACAGCCTCTTTTGCAACCTGAAATGGCCAAGCTCTGCCTGTACACAGAACAGAGCAGATGACTATCTGGCACTTTCTAGAAACCTTAAGGAATAATAGTCTCTATTTCTTGATTTTGCAGCTTGAATATGGATGCTGCCACATTAACCCACGAGGTCATGGTTATGTAATAAGGTGGCAAAGTGATAAACCTGGGACCCTAGAGCTTCATGGAGCAGAACTACCAAACTCGCTGTGGTAGTCTGGTTAAGATGTCCCCATAGTCTCAGACATTTGAATACTTGGTTCCCAGTGGTCATGCTATGTACAGAGGAAGTATGTCACTGGGGGTACGTTTTGAGAGCTTAGGGCCTTGCTTTCCTTACAGCTGCTTTCTGCTTCATGCTTGCAGTAAAGGATGTGAGAGCCCAGCATCTTGTTCCAGCCACTATGCCTGCTGCTTGTTGCCATTCTCCCTTTGGAACCATAAGCCTGAATAAAATACTTTCTTCTGTAAACTGTTTTGGTCATGGATCAATGAATAAAAGCACATAATGCTTTTGCAGAGGTCCTGAGAGTTCAATTCTCAGGATTCATGTTAGGTGGCTCACAACTCCTGTAACTCCAATTCCAGGAGATCCACTATCTTCTCACCTCTAGGTGCACCTACACCCATAAGCATATAAATCTGCTTACCCATGTACATTTACACTTAAATAATCAAATAAATATTTTAAAACTACATATTGTTATTCAGAGTCTTTGTTTACACAGTATGTTACTAGCATTCCCTTGCCATTGGAAGAACAATAGGAAAAGGAGGGGCAGAGAACCTCCTAGTAACCCTCAGAATTGTTCATTTGGAATCCATGTAAATGTGTCTGGCAGATGCTGACCTGTGACTGGTGTGAAAACCAATATAAAAATCCAGTCCAACATAGCATGAAATCTTCTTTCCCAAATAGACTGCTCTTAGGCCCTAAATCCTAAGGGTTGTGGGATGTTAGTCGAAGATGTTAAATTTGTTTGTGCTGTTCAAATGGCCAAAAGACACTTTTAAGGTCATGCTCAACTTCCTTAGAGATCAGGGAAATGCAAATCAAGACAACTTTAAGATACCATCTTACACCTGTCAGAATGGCTAAAATCAAAAACACCAATGATAGCCTTTGCTGGAGAGGTTGTAGAGAAAAGGATCCATTTCTGGTGGGAATGCAAACTTGTGCAACCACTTTGGAAAGCAGTGTGGCGGTTTCTCAGGAAATTCGGGATCAACCTACCCCTGGACCCAGCAATACCACTCTTGGGAATATACCCAAGAGAGGCCTTATCA